ATTTTTGAGGATTAATTTTATTATTGAACAACAACCATGTTCTCAATGAACCCAAAAAACTCATTAATATCAAAGCTGAATATTTTTGGAAGTAGTTTTTAGTTTGTTTTTAGTTTTAGCTATGTTAGGGGGATATCTGTGTGTGCAGGTGACTATTACTGTGCATAATTATTAGGCAACTTAACAAAAAACAAATATATACCCATTTCAATTATTTATTATTACCAGTGAAACCAATATAACATCTCAACATTCACAAATATACATTTCTGACATTCAGAAACAAAACAAAAACAAATCAGTGACCAATATAGCCACCTTTCTTTGCAAGGACACTCAAAAGCCTGCCATCCATGGATTCTGTCAGTGTTTTGATCTGTTCACCATCAACATTGCGTGCAGCAGCAACCACAGCCTCCCAGACACTGTTCAGAGAGGTGTACTGTTTTCCCTCCTTGTAAATCTCACATTTGATGATGGACCACAGGTTCTCATTGGGGTTCAGATCAGGTGAACAAGGAGGCCATGTCATTAGATTTCCTTCTTTTATACCCTTTCTTGCCAGCCACGCTGTGGAGTACTTGGACGCGTGTGATGGAGCATTGTCCTGCATGAAAATCATGTTTTTCTTGAAGGATGCAGACTTCTTCCTGTACCACTGCTTGAAGAAGGTGTCTTCCAGGAACTGGCAGAAGGACTGGGAGTTGAGCTTGACTCCATCCTCAACCCGAAAAGGCCCCACAAGCTCATCTTTGATGATACCAGCCCAAACCAGTACTCCACCTCCACCTTGCTGGCGTCTGAGTCGGACTGGAGCTCTCTGCCCTTTACCAATCCAGCCACGGGCCCATCCATCTGGCCCATCAAGACTCACTCTCATTTCATCAGTCCATAAAACCTTAGAAAAATCAGTCTTGAGATATTTCTTGGCCCAGTCTTGACGTTTCAGCTTGTGTGTCTTGTTCAGTGGTGGTCGTCTTTCAGCCTTTCTTACCTTGGCCATGTCTCTGAGTATTGCACACCTTGTGCTTTTGGGCACTCCAGTGATGTTGCAGCTCTGAAATATGGCCAAACTGGTGGCAAGTGGCATCGTGGCAGCTGCACGCTTGACTTTTCTCAGTTCATGGGCAGTTATTTTGCGCCTTGGTTTTTCCACACGCTTCTTGCGACCCTGTTGACTATTTTGAATGAAACGCTTGATTGTTCGATGATCACGCTTCAGAAGCTTTGCAATTTTAAGAGTGCTGCATCACTCTGCAAGATATCTCACTATTTTTGACTTTTCTGAGCCTGTCAAGTCCTTCTTTTGACCCATTTTGCCAAAGGAAAGGAAGTTGCCTAATAATTATGCACACCTGATATAGGGTGTTGATGTCATTAGACCACACCCCTTCTCATTACAGAGATGCACATCACCTAATATGCTTAATTGGTAGTAGGCTTTCGAGCCTATACAGCTTGGAGTAAGACAACATGCATAAAGAGGATGATGTGGTCAAAATACTCATTTGCCTAATAATTCTGCACTCCCTGTAGGTTCCCCCCCCCTTATTCTTCTTTAGGGCCCCCACCAGCCATTCAGGGGTGGGGGCCAAGGGGGGAATATAGACATGTCCCTACTCGCGGTATAGCGAGTAGGGGCATAATTTACTAATACTACGTAATCTTTACTTAGTATTAGTACATTTGTCTGAAAGACCAATTTAGGTCTTTCAGCCTTTTAGTAGATAGCTCCCTAATAACGTGGGAATTAGGGAGTTATCTACTTATTCATTCCTTACATTGACAGGCTAAGTAACTTACATTTTATATGAATGTATGTTACTTGATTGTTGTAAGTGTTGCAAATGCTTACAGCTGAATCCTGGCTATGTTTGTATACTTTTTATTTAAAATTGTATACAGTGAAACATTCTTCATCCTTCCACTGGGTAAGTATATTAGTACTTAGGCAATACTGTGCTTCAAAACTTCGGCAACTTTGGAACTTCGACACTTCGTAAATTCATCAATTTCGGGACTTCAGGAATTCGGCACTTCGGCAATTCAGCTATTCGGATATTCGGAAGTACCCAAATGTCCAAATTGCCCGAAATTCATCCGAATTCCCCGAAATTCGTCCAAATTCAAATTCGGACCGAAATGAATTGCACATGTCTAATGAGGAGCGTTCAGCATTTCCATGTACAGCATGGAGATGCTGAACGTCCATGCTGCACACACAGTGCTGGCACAGGAATCACCTTTGGTGACTGTCTGAGTGACTGCCACTAAAGGTATTCCTAGGCAGTAATGTAAAAACTGCATTTACTCCTATATTTATAAAAAAAAACAAAAAAAAACAGATGATGTTCTTTGCCGATCACTGATGTCCTAATCAGAATGTTAAACCAAAGTATTAATAGGGGTTGAGAAAATATATTTTATGTGTGTGTATGTATATATATATATATATATACATATATTATTTTTTATTTTTTTATTTTAGAGAACATTTTTTTAAAAACTGATTAAGTTGTGTCTCTTTTTTTTTTTTGGTTAACATTTGGTTAATTTCTGTGACCTGATAAATAAAGAATTGTTCCTTTTTAGGGGTGTGCATGGGCAAAAAATTTGGTTCGGTTCGGCATTCTCAAATTCGGGGCTTCGATTCAGTTTGGTTTGGCACTTCCGAAATTTGGAACTTCGGTTCGGTTCGGCACTTTCGAAACTCGGGACTTCGGCAATTCCCTAACCCTACCCCTAACCCTAACCCTACCCCTAACACTACCCTTAACCCTAACCTAACCCCACCCCCAACACTACTAGGGGTAGGGTTAGGGCTAGGGTTAGGAGTAGGGTTAGATTCCTGTCATCATTCCTTTCATTTTACCTCCCTCTCCTGTTTTCCCACTTTTCAGAAATCCGAAGCACATCAGCTCTTTGGCAATTCGGTTCAGAACTTCGGGACTTCGGCGATTCGGGACTTCGGCAATTCTGTTTGGTACTTCGGAAATTCGTCTGAATTTAAATTCGGACTGAAACGAATTGCACATGTCTATTCCTTTTGCATATTTTTTTGTTGTGAGAAATTTAACGTTATAAACAACTCCAATTTTACTGAATAAAAATATACCCGCTGGCCGGCGAGTAAAAATGCTTTCCCTCAGATTTGAAGGGGTTCCTATGCCCATGCCTGCCTCCATAATACTGCCCCTGCCCCCCCCTCTACAGCCCCTGTCCCCCTCTAGAGTCTCTGTCCACCCTCTACAGACCCTGCCTCCATTATACTGCCCCTGTCCTCCCTTCTACAGCCCCTACCTCCATTATACTGCCCCTGTCCTCCCCCTCTACAGTTCCTGTCCCCACCATGCTGCGCATGTTCCCCCCTATGCTGCACCTGCCACCCCCTGCTGCCCATGTCCTCCCCTCTACAACCCCCTCTACAGCCCTTGCCCCCCTCTACAGCCCCTGCCTCCATTATACTGCCCCTGTCCCCTCTACAGCTCCTGTACCCTCTCTACAAGCACGGTCCCCCCCTTTTACAGCCCCTAGCCCCCTACTACAGCCCCTGCCCTCCCCCACTACAGCTATCCCCCTCCTGAGATTAGGTTCTGGACCTGCCCATACTCTGTATGCCTGTGTCTGTATGTTTCTTTATGACTATATGTCTGTGTATGACTGTGTATGTATGCCTATGCCTGTATGTCTCTATATGACTGTGTCCGTATGTCTCTGAATGTCTGCATCTTTATGTCTTTGTATGACTGCATCTTTATGTCTCTGTATGTCTGTGTTTTTATGACTGTGTTTAATTGTGTGCCTGCATATCCCTGTGACTTTGTGCCTGTATGGTTGCTATATATCTATGTCTATATAGCTTGGGAGGAAAAAGACACTCAAAGGGCCCTGGTGGGTGGGGATGGTGGCAACAAAACGGGCTGTGGGGAGAGACACACAGAAAAGGGCTGTGGGAAAGAAGAGGGTTGTATGAGACATACAAGGGAGTGTAAGACTAAACTGGGGATACAATACACTAAAGGAAGTAAGAAATTCAAAAGGGGGTTTACAAGACACCGATGAAGATGCATTTTTGGGGTAGAGGGGAATCAGGTGGCAAAATACATCTTCGCCTGTGTAGCCAAAAATCCTTGCACCGGCCCTGTTGGTAGGTGACTGACAATGTGGTAAAAACAATCTTTGTTCTATAAATAGGGAACTCCAGGTATATATCCTCGTAACACAGGCCTCCAAGTTCTCACAGACAATATCACAAGTTAAACAAGTGAAGTAAAAGTACTTGCTTTATTCTTGTCAGATACACATAAAACACACAATATGAATATTTTATCCTTGATTGACAAAGTCCACATTGGGGAGCACCTAGCTATGTGCAGAAAGCATGGACGCTGAGATCACTCTATTTTACTTCCTCTATTCTCTGAAATCGTATCTTTCATCTCTATTCTTCTCTGATACCTTGCTGTTGCTGTCTCTGTTTGTCTCTGGCAGATACACATTAGAATTTGAAGAAACCAGCTGTCTGCCTTTCAGTGTTATCAGACTTCACCATCGTATTCAAATATTGAATTCTTGGCAATTTTCACTTTAGTGAATAACCCTGTATGGGCAGGGACACCCCCCTGGGTTGTCAGTTAGTCAGCTAGCTAGAATACCCTCGTCCTCGTCCGTGATCAGATTTTTTATTTCAAAATAGATTTCTATAGCGCATCACCATTTCAATAAAGACATAAAAATTTATATTTACAAATAACACTAATATTAATACAAAAAAGTAATACACTTAGCACTTGGGTGAAATTTAGCACTGAGCCTCTGTCAAGGGTCCCTCTTTTGCAGCGCTGGATACCTGGAGTGACTATAGCTGTTATAGCTGTCTTACCCAAACACTAGCCAAGACTTAGTGAAAGGGGAATACGAATTGGCTTATTGAGAACAAGGCATGTTTTTATACACATGACCCTAACAGCTGGTCCATGGCTTGAACAATGGAAATCCACCCTAACGCCTGGGACATAACTAAATCAGTAACCGCTAAGTGAATTATCCTCTAATATCAGGGCGTCGTTACATATACCACACAACATAGGAAATGACACACATAGCGCCCACATGTCTTATATCCTGTTACAGCTCTCCACCTGCTTCTGTCAAAAGAACGCTATTGTCGGACTCACGTTATTGAATCGCCAGCAGGTCTTAGTCATAGTGACCACTAGCAGACTCGTGGCTTACCCTGTGAGGCTTGGTTACCAGGTGGGTTGGAGTGAGGGTGCTCTTCAGGGCTGTGCCAGGTAAAGGAAAGGGGGAAAACCAGGGAGTGTGACTTCATCTTTTACAGAAGAAATTGTGGTGAATAAGCGGATTAGCACTTTGAATTGACTGCTATAGGATACAAAAAGCCAATGTAAGAACTGACAGAGGGGAGAGGTATGAGAGGAGACAGGAGAGGAAAATCAGTCTAGTGGCAGCATTCATTACAGACTGTAGCGGGGCAGTACGACTTCTGGGAATTAGGAGAGAGATACAATAGTCAATGCGAGAGATTACTAGAGCAGCGTTTCCCAAACCAGTCCTCAAGACCCACCAACAGTCCAGGTTTTGTTAGTATCCCCATTGCAATAAAACAGGGAAATACATAAATCCTGGACTGTTGGTGGGTCATGAGGACTGGTTTGGGAACCACTGTACTAGAGCATTGACAAGCTCCGTAGTAGCGTAAGAAAGGGGCAGATGCGGACAATGTTTTTAAGGTATGTATAATCATATACTAATGGTTTCCACACCAGTCCTTGAGGCACTCCTGCCAGTCCAGGATTTAGGGATTACCCAGTTGTGTCTAAGGTGTTTTTAGAAAGGAAAAAAAAACGCCTTGACACAACTGGCTAATCCCTAAATTCTTGACTGGTAGGCATCCCTTGAGGAATGGTTTGGAAACCACTGTCATATACTGTAACTAAACCCCCGATTATGGCTAAAATAGGTATTTTAAAAATAATATACATCACATTTTGTGAGCTTTGAAGCAGGTGTTTAGTGAGAGTGCACTCTCACTGCAATCTTTAAATTACTTAAATGGTATTTTATGCCATCAATAAAGAGGGATAGAAACAACAGCTATAACTATGATATTGTATGTGTCATACACACCTTCTTACATATATAATATTCACATTATGTCATATTTATTTTAAAATTATTCTTTAGTACCTTTAATCAGACTTGTTCCTCAATATGGGATTAATTTAAATATCAGTGTCTACAAGTTTCATTTGGAAATTAAATCAGTAGAAATTTCTTTCTTGAGTCAGAGGCACAAAGACTTTTTTAGACCTGCAGGGGAGCTTTTCTGTAAAAGGTTGAGAAACACTGCATTATACTATAATCTATAACTCACCCTTGGCTCAATAAAAACACATAACATTTTCAGCATACAATGTATTTAATGTATATATTGCAAATGGTTTTCCATACTAATCACATAAATGCGGTTTTCAGTATATGATTTATTTAATGTATTATTGCAGATGGTTTTCCATCCTGAAAGCATTTATTGTAAGGAATATGAGAGTATGAGTATTTAGTGGCAGAATTACTAAGCAAAATTTAACGCATCTTTCTTTCTTGTAAAACAAAAAAACATATTGTTCTGAGACTTTGCAGTCTTCTTCAAACGTCAAAATCAATCAAATCACTTCACTTCATCAACCAAAGCAACTCTTGAATATTTGGTTTATCATTCTTATTTTTTTTCCTTATCATTTTTCCATGTATCATTCAAGCTACTTAATTAAAAGCAGACAGACCATATCTTAGTAGTTGTTTCTTACTCATGTATGCATCTCAACAACCAAGATACCATCATGACAGAAGATAGCAGACAAGTCCTTTGTCTCAATTCCATATGGTAACTTATAGGTTCTTGTAAAGCTCCGTGAAATGAAGCCATGTTCATCCATCCTGTGTTGATGTTCACCCTTGATTATGAGCCATCCTTCAAAGATCTGGATAATTATATCTTCTGGACGGAATTGCACCACATCCATCATAACCTTAAAGTGTTTGTCTTCTTCAGTTGTATGTTTTTCCTCCAGTTTTTCTTCATTTCCTGGATTTCTGGAACATTTTCCATTGAATTGGGGACCTGGAAGTGCATATAGTGAATGTTCTAGAGCACATTCATCAAGGTCATTTGTTTCAAACTTTTCTTGAAAGCGTGCTGGGGTTTCTACCCAGTGCCGAACTGTTACTCCTTCCATGGTACAGAAAAAAGCAGACGATGATTGTACTCATCTCAGCTCAGAAATTAAAAATAACCTGGTATAGCATTGTGGTCAGATGGTATCACAAGAATCTATATTTGTTCTGGCTAATCCAATGTCTTTTTCAGGCATGAATCATAGTGCTTTGGAAATAGCTCTGCTAATAAAAAAAAAATAGGCCATTTATAGAAGATGGGTAACTGAAGAACTGCACCTGGATCTTTTTAATAAACAATAAGTTATGGCAAGTTAACTACAGAATGGCAGAATGGGCGTGCCAGAAAAAAATTGTAATCTGTGTTTAAAGTATCATACACACTTGAAAGCCTGTCAGGGAACTACATAGGACACTGCAAGATGTGCGTTTTGCTTCTATGTATCTTTGAAACAATCTTTCATTTTACACTCTCTTTAACCTTAAAAATTTAGCTAAGTACTGAGCCAAGGCTGTCTTTAATATTGATTTGACCCTAAGAACGCATTTGCTTGGGCCCCCTGTACCTGCCCTGCCTCTCCTTAGCATGCAATCATGCCATGCACCCCAACACACAAAAAAGACCACCGCAAAAAAAGATTTGCTCTTCCCAGAATTCCGATGCACACTATGAGCATAAATATATGGAAACAGGGTCACCGTGCAGCAGCACATTTGCTAAAAGGTTTGACGGATTCCACAGTGCATGCCACGGTGTCACACTGCCACCCACATCAGTTATATGTGTCATGTTAACTCATGTCAATTTCCACATTGCGCCAGAGCACTTGGCACAGTGGCAATTTAACACACAAATATTGCCTGTTGCCAGTGTTACTTTGCTCCACAAAACATGCCACAGTTAGTTTTCCCATTAAAATATACCACAGTCAGTTTGCCCATTAAATATGTGCCAAGCCAGGTGCCTAAAAAAAAATATAACGGTTAGTGTGTCCATTAATAATCACCAGAGTAAGATTGCCCATTAATAAATATCACAGTAAGATTGCCCATTAATAAATATCACACTGATGTACACACACACACACACACTGATACAAACATGCAGTCACAACGTGTATTGGCCTATGTGTTTTTCTAAGTATGTCTGGCACTGTCTGCCATGGACACGGTGCATAATTTATAATTGCACTATGGAATATTGTCCTTTAATGTAATTTGTGTAGTGCATATATAATCTGCCTGCCTTGTACAGGTGGTATTGTCAATGTCAAAAGGGGTTAATTTGATTGTATGGAAGGTTTATAGCCTTAATTCCTTTTGAAGCTGGGACTCCCACAGAGGTCAGATGACAGAAGGGGTAATGTAAATTGCATAGGACTGTGAAAAGAAAAAGACATTATGTGGTTTATCAAAGACCATGCAAGGTGTGAGATTCTACTCTTGAAAATCCTGAAGGTCTGGTTTCAGGTATATGGCCTGTACCTCTTAATTGACGAGTCAATTTATTTGAAATGTTAATGGCCATTAGCCTTGTTCCAGTATCATATCAAAAAGAAAAAAACATTAATATTAACCCACAGAATAATAATTAAGCCTCCTTTTTATTACATTTGGAATGTGACAAGCGCCATCTTCTAAACAAGCCTAAACATGACTAGCATAACTTAACCATAGAGGAAGGTATTGTGTTAGGTGGACAGAAAAAAACTGACCTAATAGAGTGGAAAAAATGATAACAGAATAGAGACTAAATGTTTGGGTAACTCGTTATGTAATTGGTAGGATACAAGAATAAGGAGGCGTGCAAATCCACAAAGTATCTCAACTGGTATAGCTAAGCTTCCATAGTAGCTATAAATGAATCAAGTAACAGGCAGAATTTAGATAAATCCCAAAAGTTCCAGGAGATATATTGTAGGAAAAGCAGATAAAAAGGTACTAGTGATTATTATGTTCAACAGAATACACAATATCTCTTAAAATGAGTAGTACGTGTTCACATAATACATAAAAATTCTCAAGAGGTATAGCCAGGAAAAGTGCTGCCTTAGGCTGAAAACAAGTTGGGCACATCAACTAAGTAGTGGATTAAAAATAGAAGCTGAGGGGGGGGCGTGGCTAGCTGAGCAGCTAACAAGACGTGCAAGTGTGGAGCTCCGGCTTAACACACCGTTTTAAAAGACAAACTGCCACAAAACTCTAACAACCAGAACAGACATCCAGTCTAATAGTGTTCTAGATACCCCCAACCTCGAGATGGGGCAAAAAAACAAGAAACAAACCTGCCTGGAGGGCTCAAACACGCCGGACATCAGGCGGTCCTTCAATAGGCCGCAAAGACTAACACAGACCAAGATGGCGCAGGATAGTGACCAAAGCTCTAGTGAATTGGAGGCACCGGCCCATGAGCGGGGCCCCCCCGACCACACAGAAAGCCAATGCAGGTTATCGGACAGGAGAATCCGACTCCGACGACTCGCCCTCTACAAAGGGCGATATCAAAAAGCTGTTACTCGACCTACGGAAGGTATGGAAGTCGGATCTGGACGAGGTACGGTCCAAAATAACCGGAGTTACAGCAAGACTGGGTGCAGTGGAGAATAGAGAAGGGGACAGAGACGTTCTCATTGCCGAGACCCAAACCCAAATGACCTCCCTGACCCAACAACTCCTAAGACTTACCAGCACAGTGACCACGATAGAGGCCAGGCATCGCAAGAGAAATGTCCGCATTCGCGGAGCACCTGAAACTATAGGCCCAGAGGCCTTACTGGAGTTTACTAATAAACTAGCGACCACGATGGGAGCAAAGAAAAATGGTGAAATGTGGCCCATCACAGCGGCATTCAGGATTCGGAAAGCCGTGGCCGCCCCTGCAGACGCACCCAGGGACATTATTGCAATCACACGAGACATTACGGTAAAAGCAGCGATTATGGCTGCCTCCAGAAAGACACCCACCGCCACAGTGAATAACCTCCACATCAAGGTATTCGACGACTTACCATTTGCAACTCTGCTAGAGAGGAGAAGGTTCATGCCAATCACCCGGCAGCTGAGAGAACATGGCATCAGATATAGATGGGGTGCATCTGGCACGCTGGTGGTGCCATACAAGGATAGAGTACTTTCATTGTCAGCAGAGGAAGACCCTACGAACTTCCTACAGGAGCTCCGACTCCCCCAGCCAGAAACCCCTGAACAGGGGAGAAGCAAGACCCCTAGCGCCACAGGCGACAACGCAACACGGGAGAAAGGCCCTGAGGGGTCAGAGACACAAAGAAGGCCAGGTCGGCAGAACCCCCCATAGATCTGCCAGACTACAAGAG